ACTTACCATCGCAAGAAAGCCATTCGAGTTAAGCACGAACCCATCGTCACAAGAACACTGAAATGAACCAATGGTATCGGAGCACGTGACCTCACATCCACCATTGTCGGTGTTACATTCATTAACGTCTGGGCGTTGGAAAATCAAGAATGAAGAATCACTTAGATTGAATAATGCTAATTTGTCGGTGTGTGTACTTATACAGTGTTTGTACTGATATTGACACGTATCATTCAGACAACAAAGGCTGGTTTTCAACTTTAGGGAATGAGCCATTTCAGAGGAAAGAGGGCGCTGCGTTCAGTAGTATTGCGATACTATCGCCAACCTAATTGATTTACGAATAAAATCATTGTATGAAATGAATGATTAAAACTTACTGTTACAGGATTGCTCGTCGGCATCAAGTTCGTACCCTTCAACACACGAACACGTAACAGTGACGCCCTGGGTTTCGCACAGTTGTTCACAACCTCCATTGAGCGTGTCACAAGCACTGACAACTGAGTAGAATCAAAATTGCAAATACGTTATATTTTCGCACAAATAATGAGGGTTCAATAAGTGGACGCTGACTAATTACGTCCCCACAAGAACGTAACATTTGCCGAAGTCACCACGATTGTTCTATTTGACAAGAACATAAGATGCACGCATATCATCACTGAACCATCAGAGGACACAGTGCTTTCTATTAAACTGTCACACCCGAACACAGTTGGTGTATTACTTACAGCTGGAGCATGTTTTGTAAACAAAACGTCCCTCCCTGTTTCCATTTGAATCTGAGGTGATATCGACAACAGCAGGAGTGTCTGAGTCATCGATTACAACGAATGTGCCCGGAGCTCCACTACCAGCATCGTACCCGGCCTGAGACGAGGATAAAATAAAAGGGATACCTTTGGTGTCAAAGTAAATTAGCACGACATAATATGTACTACATGTTTCGACATATCAAATCTAAATACTAAAGACTTCTTACCAGAGTTCCACTACTGAACCATTTGACTTTCACGTAGTTGAAAATAACGTAACCACAGCCGTCATTCCCCATAGCAAGTACAATTTGAAAAGTGTTTCTCTGTAAGTTGGAAATAATAAATTGATGTAAAACGCAGAGTATGTTGAATTCTGATTAATGAATTAACAATTAACCATGGTAACGTCGGATATTATTCATTAAAACATGTTGTTGTTTATACACAACGATGACGTCTACTAATACGTTACCTTATTCCTCGTAGCTGCATTGGAACCGAAAAATCCGTTTTCATACCACGTGGCAACGAACGCAAACTCAACATTTAGGGCAAATCCGAAGTTCCATTCCCTTAGGACGTCAGTGGCATGGTCCAGCACGCTTTGTTCTGTGGTTTCTCGGTAATATAACTTACCACCATGCGCTTTTTCTACATCAGCCCATATGCCAGCAATCATAGGTCGTTGTGCGATTGGGAATGGTTTCGGATCAAATGATGTGGCTGGTGCTGTGTGAAACGTGATGATACCGTTGTCGTTCACCTATATTAACAGATTTGGTGAAAATATTGCAATATATTATTATTTCGTAATGCCAAGAAAATGCATCGCGTTCGTACGACTACGTCCTTCGTGGCGCGGTACAAATGTAAAGGAAACGCACCCATAACTGCTGGTAATCCTGTCCCATGAAATGAAACGTATTAGATAGCGGTACAAGACTTGTAGCATCGTCATTGGACGGCACCAGTTGGTCGAGTTGATCACCAAATTTGAAAAGCAGTGTATCTGACAACGAGAAAAAAAATATTTAGCATTATTGATTGATGCATAT